GAGCCGCGCGTTGATTCCGCGCTGCGATCTGCCGCCCAAGGGAGTCGCCAAAAAGGTCGTTGATCTTCTCTTGAAAGGAGTCCCAGCTCATAATCTCCGCTTCGTGCGTCTCGAACCACACTCGCCGTGGGCCATCGAGGTAAAAAAGCACATTGGCAAGCATAGGAGTCGGGTCCCACCTAAGGCTTGCGCTGACCCGTTCGTACCAGTTGATCCATTTGTCGACGTCAATGCCATCCTGACCGGAAAATACACCGGGATCACGAGCAGGAGGTAGAACGACGTATGTAGAAGTCACGGTAGGGGCAGGTGGTGAAGACGATGGTTGTTCAACCTGTGACATGGTTGAACCTATGATGATGCGGCCGTTGCGGAGCTTCGTGATGAAGACGGGGAAGTACCCAGCACCTCCACCAAAAAGATGTTACCTGAAAATGACACGAGGCGTGTCTATTTAAAATCTATATTTAAACTGATGCGTATGGCGTCGGCTAAGATGGAAGCAGCACGCTCAACCAACAGACCACTTCCTCGTTGTCCTCTTCTGACTGCTGATACGTCAGCTACGTAGCAATATTGTGTAAAACACGAAAAAGAAGCCCTTAACTCTACACTTGTTTCCCTTATTCATTAACGAGGGTCTCGTACTGGCAGACTTGGTGCCTCTAATTTGGATACGGTGGACTATTGGTCAGCTGCCAATTAGTAACAAGTTCACGTGCTACGTGACGCCAAACAGGCTCATAAAGAGTGTACCACACTCGCCGCCATGGCTACTAGTGGCGCTGACTGACACTCCCACGTTTAAATTGACATAGATACCCAATAAAGTGGCTGGGGGGATGGCTGTCGTGGTAGCTCAGTGGTAGAGCATCGAACGCGTTATTCAAAGGTCGCAGGTTCTGACCGTGCCCACGGCAAGTTATCTTTTCACCCACTTTTCTTTCTTATCATTTACATTACAATTGGCCTAATAAATTCCAGTATACCTTCCTTGGTATTATTGTGTGTTAGATCTCATTATATTGTGTAAAACACGAACAACGAGCCCTTAAGTGTACACTTGTTTCCCTTATATATATATATATATATATATATATATATATATATATATATATATATATATATATATATATATATATATATATATATATAGTCACGTGATCACAGAACGACCACAACGTCTGTTCACAGGAGCAGCACTGGACGTCGAGCCGAACCGAACATTAGAGCACGAGCACACCAACCGTCCTCTTCTTTCACACCATGGCACATACCCGCATTGTCATGGCTAAACCTCGTTCCATACCCGTGGCATTATCCCCCCCCTTCGAAAAAAAAGTACCACCCCGATAACCAATGTCGATTAAAAGGTAAAGTAGTCGCGTACACGCACAAAGACGCATGATGAAGCAGTGTCTGGTGGTTCGGGGGTAGTGTGGCTTCATCCGTGACACATGAACAATGTCGGCCTGCTGGGAACATCGAGATCACTGAGCTGTGTCTTCAAGCAGAATTTCGTAGTTGACATCTGTGAGGCGCCGTAGTACTCTATAGGGACCGAATTAGCGTTAAGTAACTTTTCCGAGTGGCCCCTTTTGTGAACGGGGATCCACAGCCAGACCAGATCACCCGGTTGGTAAACGACATGGCGATGACGGGAGTTGTACCTCTGCGAGTCGATTCGTTGTTGTTTTCAGATCCGCTCGAGTGCAAGCTGGCGGGCCGCGTCGGCGAGCCGGGTAAAGTCGTTCGCATTAGTAGTAATATCGGTCGTGTCAGTCAACAGTATGGCATCAAGCATCGTAATTGCTTCTCGGCCGTGAAGCAACCGGAAAGGAGTGAAACCCGTAGTCTCTTAAACCGCAGTGTTGTAAGCGAACGTTACGTATGGCAAAATTGCATCCCAGTTTTTGTGATCACGGTCGACGTACATAGATAGCATGTCAGCGAGCGTCTTGTTTAATCTCTCCGTCAGACCGTTGGTTTGTGGATGGTATGCGGTTGTTTTGCGATGAGCTGTTCCACAAAGTCTCGTGACGTCTTGCATCAATTGGGCTGTAAAGGCTGTTCCGCGATCAGTGATAAGAACTGTTGCCGCTCCATGGCGGAGGACAATGTTGTTGATGAAAAAATACGCAACCTCATTGGCAGTGCCTCGTTGTAGGGCTTTCGTTTCGCAGTACCTCGTTAAATAGTCAGTACCGACTACGATCCAGCGGTTGCCATCATCTGACTTCGGGAAGGGCCCAAGCAAGTCCATGCCGATTCGTTCAAACGGTGGTGACGGGGGTGCAATAGGCTGCAATAAACCAGCAGGGCGCACAGGTGGGGCTTTATGGTGCTGGCAATGATTGCACGTTTTGCGTAATGCTTGACATCCTGGGTGAGCTTTGGCCAGTAGTAGCGAGTCCGAATCCGGGCAAGGGTACGTGCGAATTCTAGGTGGCCGGAGGAAGGCTCGTCGTGGCAGGCAGATAAAATGTGAGCACGTAGCCCTGGCGGAACGACGAGCAGGTACTCAGTCGCATAAGGCTCGAAGTTATTTTTGTAGACGATGTCGTTGCGGAGACAAAATGACCCTGAACGTGCGAATGCCGATGGTGGACTCGAGCTGCGGCCTTGAAGGTATTTGATAAGTTGTTGGATCTCTGAATCATTCCACTGTTGTGGGGCCAAGTCAGATTCACTGACTGCGCAAAGAAAATGGCCATCGGTATTATCGTCCCTCGATGTCGTCGCGAGGGGTGCGCGCGAAAGGCAATCAGCATCTGTGTGCCTGCGGCCCGGCTTGTAGACGACTGTAACCTCAAATTCTTGAAGGCGTCAGCTCCACCTCGCGAAGCGCCCTGAAGGGTTCTTGAGATTGGCCAGCCAACAGAGGGCATGATGGTCCGTAACTACTCTGAATGGACGGCCATACAGATACGGTCGGAACTTTGTTATCGCCCAAATAACAGAAAGACATCCCTTTTCCGTGGTCGAGTAGTTGGTTTTCGCAGATGACAAAATGTGGCTAGCATACGCGATGGGACGTTCAGCGCTGTCTTTTCACTGGACGAGTACTGCACCAAGACCAATGTTGCTTGCGTCAGTGTGAAGTTCGGTGGTGGCATCTTCATCAAAGTGCCCTAGTAAGGGTTCACTCTGAAGGCAGTGCTGAAGCTGGGAAAAAACAGCTCTCTACTCTGGACCCCTAGACAAAGGGAGTGTCCTCCTTCGTTAAACGGGTAAGGGGTTCAGCGATGTTGGCAAAGCTCTGGACAAAGCGCCTGTAGTAGGTGCAGAGACCCAAAAACTGGCGCAAATCCCGTTTGTTCGAAGGTGGAGGAAATGCAGCAGCAGCCATGGTCTTTTCTGGGTCTGGCCTAATGTTATAGCGACTGATAAGGTGGCCGAGGAACTTTAGTTCTTCGTACCGAAATGACACTTCTCCGGTTTTAGCGATAGGCCTGCGGATCGAATAGCGACGAAGATGGACTGAAGTCGTTGTAAATGTTGCTCAAATGTTTTGGAAAAAACAACGACGTGGTCTAAATACACGAGGCAGGATTCCCACTTCAGACCGGACAGAACGGTGTCCATCATCCTTTGGAACGTTGCCGGTGCAGAGCACAATCCAAATGGTAACACTTTGAATTCGTAGAGGCCATCGGGAGTTATGAATGCTGTTTTTTTCCTGTCACGTTCATCGACCTCGATCTGCCAGTAGCCACTGCGTAAATCCATTGAGGAAAAATATCGGCGATGTCGAAGTCGATCCAGTGAATCATCTATGCGTGGGAGAGGGTAGACGTCTCTCTTCGTCACTTTGTTGAGCTTTCGGTAATCGACGCAAATCGAAGAGTGCCGTCCTTCTTTTTAACAAGTTACGACGGGTGACGCCCATGGATTGTTCGAGGGTTGGATGACGTCATCGTCGAGCATCTGTTTCAATTGAAAACGTATTGCCTCTTGTTCTTTTTGCGACACGCGGTAGGCGTGCTGTCTTACAGGCCGTTCGGTAGGGTCCGTTATAATGTGGTGCTTCACGGTTGGGGTCTGCTTGATTTTGGAGGTGGACGCAAAGCAATCACTATACGTACGTAAAATCATGCGTATCTGCTGTTGCTGTGCACAGGATAGCTGGCAATTCACGTCAACTGTACTGGCTAATGTAGTGTTACCTTCGGCAGCAGTGGCAATCGGATCGATAGTGGAACATTCTTCGTCACCGATGGCTTCAAAGTTCGCGACTGCTGTTCGCTTTGTGAAGTGTTGGTACTGGCCGCCGAAATTCATGATCAGAAGCTGAGTCCTCCGAGGTTTCAGTTTGACGATAGCACGCGCGACACAAATCTGCCGAGCCAAGAGCACCGAGAGGTTAGTTTCCGCGATGCCACTACTCTTGTTGTCACAGTCGCTTCTCCACAGTTGCCAACATACTGGCTCGCGGCGGCAGTACGATGGTGTCGTCAGCAATTCGAAGTGTTGTGGTCGGCGCAACTGCATCCTTTCGTAGGGCTGTATGGTCGGTAGATAACGTTATGAGCAGGTCGCGAAGGTTAATGATGGCTCCATGCTCGCGGGGAAAATCCGTTCCGAGAAACAGGTTTTGGGAGCATTCGCGCAATACAACGAAGGAAACAATGTACGTCGAGTCACGAATTTAGAGGCGGGCAGTGCACATTCCTCGCGGTGTCAATAGGTGACCTCCCGCAGTCCGGAGGTTGGTTCTATGTCCCGAAGGTGTCGTTACTTTTCTTAGCTGTGCAGCAAGATCAGCGCTTATAACAGAATAATCGGCACCCGTATCTACCAGAGCGGTCAGCGGGTGGTTGTCGACAAGGACAGAGATACGAGCAGAGACCCGTTTGTCGTCGATGGCACACGTCGGTGAAAGAATGTCGTCGGATGTCGGCAGGCAAATTGGGGGAGGGCCTTGTAACGGTCGATCAACAGCAGCCTCACCCCCAGAGGTTGCTCTTCTTAGTTTCCCCAGCGCGGGCTTGTGGATCTAGATGATCTTCCTCCAAGGACGTCCGCAAAGGTCGATTGTTGGCCCGGTGACGTGCAACACCGTGAAGATGGTGAGCGGGATTGGCGACGCGGAAGGGTTGAGGACCGTTGGCTTGCCAAGTATTCGGCTATAGCACGGAGCCGTTCACCATCTCTGGGTCGACGAGCATCTGGACGAAAGCCAGGAAGACCCATGTGCCTGTATGCGCACTCACGGTAGATGTGACCTGGTTCACCACAGTGATAACATAGAGGCCGGATGTCGGGAGCACGCTATACACTGGATTTCCGTGTAAGGGGTGGGTTGCCGTACTGCGGTGGTCCCGAGTAGAACGACGGTGCCGTTTGCAGGGTGGACGGACGGGACGGATAGCCAACAGCTGGTGCAGGAGTACGTAGTGCTTCCGCGTACGTTAATAGCGGAGCTTCAGCTGGACGCGGGGCCGTCATGGGTTGGACTTCGGCTGCACAGCAGAGTCGTCATGGGGTGCACCAGCTGCCGGACCTCTTCGCGAAAGACATCCGTTAGAGCAGCAACATGGGGCGGAGAAGACACCACTTGCAGCTTTTGCAGCTCCTCGCGCACAATACTGCGCACGAGCTCCGTCAGGTCTTTTACAGTCGTGACGTCAGGTGTTGGCAGGGCCGACGACACTGACGAAAGACTGCCAGGACGCTCATACGGGTACGAACGCTGCCTTAGCATTCCCTCCATTGTCGTGGCTTCACGTAGGAAATCCTCTACAGTGCTGGGAGGGTTCCGCACTAGTCCCGCGAACAGCTGCTCTTTCACTTCCCGCATTAGGAGGCGCACCTTCTTCTCTTCTGTCATTGAGGAGTCGGCTCGCCTTGAACAGCCGCGACATGTCCTCAACAAACATGGCAACACTCTCGTTCGGGCGCTGGTTTCAGGAATTGAGGAGCCCTTCCACTTGCTCCTTTCGGTCAGAGCTTCGGAAGGTATTTCGCAACTAGTTGCAAAACTCTGGCCAGGTTGTCATAGTGGCTTCATGGTTTTTGAACCAAGTGCGCGCAGAGTCCTCGAGATAAAAGTAGACATACCGAAGCTTTCGCTGCTCGTTCCACTCGTTGACGCTGCCGCAACGGTTGTAGTCGTCAAGCCAGTCGTCGACGTTTTCGTAAGGGTCACCGTGGAACGGCTTCGGAGTTCGCGGGACGTTGAAGAACCATGGAGGAGGCAGCGTTGATGTTTCTTGGGTTTGCGTTCCCGCACTAGCCATAGTACTGCCGAGTTGTGGAACTGGTCCGAATTCAGGAGGTAGGCCTAGTTGTCGCCTGCTACGCCGTAGGTCAGCTGGTTCTTCTAAGTCGCGACTAGTGTCGGGACCTTGCTGCTGATTGCAGTGCATACAACACTACCCAGCACCTCCACCAGAAAATATCACGTGATCACAGAACGACCACAACGTCTGTTGACAGGAGCAGCCCTGAACGTAGAGCCGAACCGAACGTTAGAGCACGAGCACACCAACCGTCCTCTTTTTCTTTCACACCATAGCACATACCCGCATTGGCATGGCTAAACCTCGTCCATGCCTGTGGCAATATATATATATATGCATATATATATATATATATATATATATATATATATATATATATATATATATATATATATATATATTATATATATATATATGAAAACGCAAGAAGGAAAGAAATCAAAGAAAAAAAGACTCCGGCACGCGGGATAGAACGTGGGACCTCCACGTCATGAATATGAGACTTTAACTACTGAGCCACCAGAGGTACCTCCGTCAACGTTCGAACGGCAGGCTATTCATATCTACCACTGACCGCTGTTGAAGGGTATCTCGGGAGGGGGGAGGAACTATCGTGTTTTCAGCATTTTCAGCAAGACGGCGCAGTGAGCGCGCGGCTGCTCTCATCTCTCACGCGGACTTTGGCCCGCGTAGAAAATAAGGGGGTGTAAGCTTGATCACGCGCCCTTATATTGCTGTGGGGAGGATCTTACCTCTTGGTAGGCGTTGGGCTTGCATTGGAACGATTCTGTTATAGTTATGGAGAACACAAAGGTAACTGCAATCGTTGCACAGCCTCAGTTTGCGAGAAGGGGTGCGCTTTTCAGACACAGCGAAGTAACAACCGAGACGCATATTCGCGTTAGTCTTTACCTGTGAGAACGTTTTGTGCATTCTTTGTGCGTGAGAAACATGGGGCATGTTTCGATCTGCTTGCCAATCTGCGCGCGATATTCCAAGTTGTTGCTATTGCGCTCATTGCTTTCCCTATGCGACAAAGCTGTCGCTTTTTTCACATTTTCACTTGCTATTCTTTTTTCTTTCATGACCTGACACACCTTTACTCCTTCAAGTACTCCTCCTGGCCGGATAATGTGAAAACGCGTGTCAGCTGTGACGTGGTGCCTTTGTGGTTCCCCAAAGGAAGCGGGCACAAGTGGAAACCATTGTTCAGGCCATGCGCTACTCAGAGGCTTTTCTTACCGGTATGTGCGGCACACTTCAGATTGTATCCCACACATGTTTATATTTAGCGCTCCACCAATGCTCTTTCCTGAACTGGTGAATATTATATATTTCGTGAGAGTGATTAGGTTCCGAAAAACTATTTTTTTCTTGCATTTACGCAAACACACGGCGAAGAAAGAGGGCCATCGGGCTGTGGTATACTACAAACCTTCAGGGAACCCCTATCATGTGGCCCCGCCTATTTACTATTGTTTGCATAATTCAGTGAAACTGAAAAGCCAGTGACTTGCTGCTTGCGAAAAAAATATTTTTGTCAACATTTGAAGAGAGTGAAGTTCTTTATCTGTATATGTCAACATTTAGAGAGTGTTAAGTCCCTCTCTTTTATCGCAGGTCGTGGATTCATTATATATTTTTTAATTTACTATAATAACTACCTGAAAAGCGATTTTCTCACAAGATTCCCATACATATCAGCTGGCATTGATCACCACATTAATGTTGGAATTCCATCATGTCATACTGAATGTTATCATGACTCATTCATACCCAGTACTTGTGTCAGTCGGAATGGCCTTCTCGACTTCGCTGACATAACTGATATTAATTTGTTGTCTGTGAATATATTTATGTTTGTCACTGCTTGTTCTATTGTACTCCCGCGACAGCTAGTTCTCTTTATTTTTCTTGATGTGAGTTTTTCGAGGTTCGAACTTAAAGAAGATTAGTTTTAATCTTCAAGAAGACAAGCCTTGTCGTATCTTTGGCTCAATCATATGCAAAGCCTGTTTTACATATTTTGTCATCTTTAGGCAGAATAGCGCTCGGGACTACTTTTAGGTTACGCCTTGAAAACTCATTTCCTATGTTGCATAAATTTAAATTGACGTCGCCAGACACTCTTTCCTGAGAAGTTCCAAGTTGATCATCGAAATAATCTTTTCTGCACTACAGGCTGAGACTTGGTAATTCCTGCGTATTCGCTGGGATTTGTATCATTATATAAAACAGTAATTGTTGGGGTTTAACGTTTAAAAAGCACTGTATGATCTATAATATCAAAACTTGTTTTTGTGGAGCGTTCGTTCATTCTAGAGCGACAGAGCAGCAGCGCGCACGCACACCCACAAGAGAGACGGCACGCACACACAGACACTGCGTGTTGCCTGTGTGTTCGTGTTACACATAGACAAATACATTTATTCATTGACGTGGTTTTCTAATATATTCTTTATATTTGTGTTTCCTTTGCTCGTGTAAACTTCAAGTTAGTAGTGTCTTGCTTGTCCCAGTTCACATGGCACAATTCTACATATTCACGCATCATTACCTCGCCTAGTGAACCGGTATTCGAAATAAATTGTTATTCGATGAGTGAATATATAAACCACAATCAGTGATAAGCAAAATATTGCAGTGCACTCTTCCTAGCGCTAGCAAGGAAACGGACTGGTTTGCCGAAAAGTATTCGGACTCGGTATTTCTCAACTTTATTTTCGCAGAACATGCTTCCTGATGTGGATGCCGTCCTCTACGCCGACACGGACGTCGTATTCGTCCATCCTATCGAAGATTTCTGTAGAATGTTCTACGCCATGAACGAATGGCAGATGGCTGGTATGGCGCCTGAGACCGAGCACTTAAAAAACAACTGCTACTTAAGAGAAAAGATTCGCCGCCCATACGTACCTCCTTTAGGTAAGCGAAGTTGTTTTTAACCATCCCAGTTTATATATTACAAATTCCCACAGCCGGTGCAGTAGGTTCTGTGTCATATCAGGCAGTTTTCTTGACACTGCATAGGAAGGAACAGGTAAATTTAAACAGGGCTAACCCGCTGGTGTCGTATATTTATATAAGGCAGCTAGTTTAGCATGACTTAAAAGGGGTATAATGCGTTCCCTGCAAGCACGAGAATTCAGTTCTCCTTGTTTAAAACAACGCAGTGCTGCTGACTCCAAGAAAGATTGTTGAACAGCATTAGCGACTGGCGAAGCATGCCGGTACAATCAACCCTTAGTATTTATGTATTCAAAATTATATTCATGGTGAAATATATGCACGCTAAATACATTAATGAAGAAAACTAGTCGGGCATAGTTCAAACAGTTTTATTTAGTTCAACACTATCTCTAACAAACTCCATCAAAACACCTTGAATCTTGATGTCATGTAAGCAGGAAACAAACGGAAATTATTTCACATTCTTATGTAACTAACTGAGAGATTAAAACGTGATCGTGAGGCATCTGCAATGGTCATGTGGCAGATTCGGTGGTTGTGGCGGCAGCTAGAGTCCGGCTTCGCAACTCCAGGATTGGTAGGAGACCCAGCAAACTCCACCAACTATAATAAAGGGCAGAGACACCCTGACAAGTAGAACTTTTTTTTTTAGACAAGACATGAGCGTAGGCCTAGCCAGCAAGAACAGTGACAATATCCGGCCCAAGCGCCTCGTGCTTAGCACTGACAATACACGTGTCTGCCAAACTTTGCATGGCCCACTCCTTCTTCATTAAAGTACATTTTCGCACGTGAAGAAAGTAGCGCGTGAAAAAAAAACAAGCGCGTGCTATAACTTGTACACAAAAACGTTATTAAGTGACTATCACCATTCTCTTTTTTTTTTGAGAGAGTGATCCATGATCTAGGAACTCAATACGTCTTTTTTCATTTTCGCATGACTGTATAACGTTAGTTGCAGTCGCAGTATCATCGCAGCAACATATTTGTTACGTTGGCAAAATGATATTTGGAAGCTTCAAAATAAGACTCTGCGCGCCTACATGCCACAACTATGCATTCATGTTACTTAATTGTCCTGTGGGGCTTAAGGTCTGTAATAAAGATGTCCGATCCACTTGGGATTCCTTACCAAGCCCTTTGCTAAGCCGACGCATGTGTGTCTTGGTATAACCACCGTATGTTGCTACGGGTGTAACTTAGCAGGGAGCTGGCAGGCCTTGTGCCCTTTCACAATGTGGCTGTGGGTATCTACCTATGTGAGGAAGAAAAAAACTCAATCGTAATTCTTTTTCGCTTCTCTTGGACTGCACAGGTCTGAATTCAGGGTTGATGATGATGAACCTAACGCGTATGCGTGTCTTTAACCTGGAGGACCACATGACACGCCTGCTCGAAGAGTTCCAGGAGCGCATTGTTTATGGAGACCAGGACCTGCTGAACATCTTCTTTACCCGATATCCTCAAGGCATATTCACCTTCACGTGCCGTTGGAACTACCACGCAGAGCACTGCCTAGGCGACGCCCTGTGTGCGGACGGCCCCATCTCTGCGATACACGCCTCGCGGAAAGTGGTCCTCCTCAAGCAAGTGCCGGCGTTTGTCGCTCTTCATGCGGCTATGGGAAACGTGAGTGCACCTTCGCTCATAAATGTGGACGTGCTCGGGAAGTTGAAGGAAGCTTCCGTGAGTTAAAGATCTCGCTGGTGGCGGTAGCATAGCACGCTGAAAACCAGGTGCAGGCGACTGTACACGATGTGCAGTGAAGGGTTCCACCAAATTCGGATCGCTGGCGCAAGAACGTAGTGTGTGTAGGACAAGGCTAGAGTGCATAGATGCTCGCCTGTACAAAAATTCGAATAATGAAGATCTATACTGGTCGTGTGTTTACCTATGTGCGCCATTTTCCAATTGGTGCTCTCACGTTCGTGGGATTGCCGCCGGTCAGTCGTTTCTTATATGGCGATCTGATCTTGTATGCAGGTCACTTGTTATTCAACGTAACCTCATTTCGTTGATTTCACCGTTTCACGCGGGACACTCTCTGTCTTTGTCATGCTTGTGAAGTGTAACGCTGCTAAGCGATCCGGTAAATGTTCAACTCCCTGCATGGAAGAGAGAATCTAAGCATCTCCGCGAAGTGAATCCTGCCGAGAAGGTTAAGCCCAGGGGATCTTTCGGTGTTACTAGGGTTACTATATGTACATGCTACATTTAGGTACCCAAAAGCTAGCATTTACGGTAACTCAAGGTGTTACCGTAAATCATTTGTGACATTGACAACCCACCTATGTAAATGAATCTCCGCCTTTGGTAGACAACAATTCTGGCGTTTAGCTGCCACATATGCCGCGTGGTCAACTCCGCATTGCCACTTTGCCGCTGTTAAGACGCTGTAGTCTTGTATGTATTTTGTTCTGGGTAACGGCCTTTTGTCTTGTTCTTGTTAATCTTTTCTTTTACGTCAGATGCTTTTAAGTGCGAAGCATTTTTTTTGCAAACTTCGGCGACTTTGAGCTTATCTATCTATCTATCTATCTATCTATCTATCTATCTATCTATCTATCTATCTATCTATCTATCTATCTATCTTTTCTAGCCACCTACCACTTTTAGTTTGCTCTCCTGGCAATTTCTATAATGGTATTGATACAAAAATTGGTATGGCATAACATATATGTTTGACGAGCATAATTGACTAGTCATAACATGACTATCATGACATGTATGTCATGATTTGAATGTCATGATTTAAATTTCATGCTGTTGCTGTTGCTGCAGTGATTTCGTTTGCATGACATATTGCAAAACTGGTATTGTATGACATTACTGCATGGTGAACACAAGTGAGAGACCCTAACGTTGAAATCATGGCATGCATGTTGTGTAAGTCATGAGTCTTGACTACACGCCACGCTTATGATGCGCTCACGGCCACTTTGCTAGCTTCACATACATCAAATTTGGTATTACGTGACGTGAATTGACGACGAAGGTAAATGACATATCTAAACATAATAACCATGTCATGCGTGTCACGTAAGAACAGGACTAAATGCCATGTCCTTGATGCGCTCGCGATCGTTTCGCTAACTTCACATATTCCAAACTTGTAGGACGAAGGTAAATGACACGTCCAAACATGGTAATGAGGACATGTGTGTCATATAAAAGATGACTGCTTGTTACGCACACAGTGCGCTAGCGGCCGTTTCGCTAGCTCCACATGTACCAAATTTGGTACTACGTGACGTGAATAGAGCACCAAAGTAAATTTCACGTCCAAACATGGTACTCATGGCAGGGAAGCCATGTACAGCATTGTTTGTGCTTATCTTTAAGTGTGCTGATGTTCAAGTAACATATCAAATGTCCTTATTCGTGCTTGGCATATCATTGAGTTCTACTGTACGTGGGATGTGCCAATCTTTATTGACGGTAGGTTCAATGTCAGTGTTTTTCGCTGTTGTGGCCTTTTATTTTACTTATTCTGGTTGTTAGACTTTCGGTAACCCTTTTGTTGTTGACAAAGGTTTTGGTTTGTTCACACGCAAATGCGCTACGTCTATCCGTGTTATTGCAAAGCAAGCCCGAAAAATTGGCACACGTGTCTTGAAATGAAGGAAAAGATGAACAAGAGGGCGAAGAGTGGGCGTGCTGCCAAAGCAACACGCTCGAAGGCACAGGTTGGTCCTGATGATAGTTTTTTCCCCTCTGCATTCTCTCAGCCCGGACTCTAACAGCTCCAGTGTTTAGGTAGTCTTTGTGATATTCCTTACCTTGTCGTTCTTTTTCAGTTCAAGCTCGGACAAAACCTTGTGGATCACTTTATCGTTCCCCTTCGCACAAGTCTTTGGAACACAAATCTTTCGAACACTGCTTCGACGGGATGTACCAAAGAGCTCAGGCAGCAGCTGCATCTGCTTCGGCTAGCTGCAAGTCGTGTCGACAACATGACGGCCCAAGCTGCGGCCGCAAATGGAACGTAGTCCTGGAGGGCACACTCGCGTTGCTGCAGTCAAGATGTACTGGTGGCGTCATTCCGTCATACTTTGCCTACGTTACAACATTTTTCTTGCCTTGTTCACTGCGATCAACCATCTACTCGCTTGTGTAAAAGGATGCTTGTGGTTTGAATAGAAATTTCAACGAACCCATTTCAAGTGCAGGCAAAGTGATAGTTATTTCACTAAGGAACTCGATAAAGCGATTTGAATGAAATTGTTGGAGTGCATGGCCATGGCTCCAAAAATGTTTACTGGCGGCGTCATCCTGTCACTCATTACCCAAGCTACAACAGTTTTTTTACCTTCCGCACTGTCATAAAACCTGTAATTCTTTGTGAAAAAGAAAGCCTGTCTTTCGAAGAAATAAAAATTACAATTAACCTGCTTTAAAAACGCGTAAAGTGATAACTATTTCACCAAAGTAGTCGGTGTAGTGTTTTCAATAAATTTTGATGCCTGCGAAGAGAAAGGCCGTTAGACCGTAACAAGCAGAATGTTGATATATCGTCTTTTTTTTTCATGGAGTTCCCGGAAGTCTTCGAGGTAGAGCGAGGAAAAAGTTGAAATGTTAAAGGGACTGTCTACCGTCCTTCGTTGCTCTCCTGTATTGTGTCGCAATAAAAAGCGCATCATGTGGAGTGTCTAACCTTGCAGTGGTTTCTCAGGAAAGTGGGCATAGATTTTTCAAACTGAATTCTTCGATCCGCGTTGTGTTTCCTTCCATCGGTGGGATGAATGCCCAACACACTGGTCGGTGCCGGTGAAAGTCGGAAACTGAAAGCACGTGTGGTTTCCGTAGGCTTCATCAAGTTTGGTTAATATTAAAACAAATAATTTAGTGGTAGTTTTAGGTGCACACACTTCTTTGATGTTCTCATCAGCGGCGGCGGACGCCGTGGTCGTGTTTTTCCGCCGTTTGCAGGCAGGCATGCAGGCAAGTGAACACACTGCTGGCAGCGCCACCGGGCGCCTATTTGAGCACGTGAGAAGAAAAAAAAAGCAAAATACGGTTTCTGGCGCAACCAAAAGCTGTCTCAAGTGCATAAAATAAATATTCAAGTTGAACGTGTTTGTTTTTAAGCAAAATAAGTTCACCTGCGAGGATTTCTTGCCCTACCTATCGATTATGAAGATTGACCACATTCGCTATTGGGTGACGCTAGTGGTCACTTTTTATCAACTTTCAACATCAAGTAAAAATTATAAATCCTTGTTTGTGGCCCGAGAACAAGCTCGTTGTCACCGATGTCATGAACGATCTTTTCATTAACACCACAATCAGAAATTTTTTTTTGGGCGGTGGACAGCCCCGTTAAGCTCACGAGCACCAATTTAATCAGCATCTCCCCATCAAACAATGGTCAATAAACTGGACAATTGAAAAACTACGCAAAGTTGCAAATCAGAATAAAGTTTACCTATCATGTTTCGACCTATCTTGCGAAAGTTCATGGGAAATTTAGGGGTTTTTTTACACAATGACAATAATTTGAAACATTTTTTTTTCTTGTCCTCTCGACGCATACCGTAAGAACCCGCGTATAGTTCGGACCCGCGTATAGTTCGAGGTGTAACTCGGGGATAGCAAACGCAAGAAAAAACATTTTCCCGCGAATATTGTTCGAGGAAAACAGAAAAAAATGCATTTATTTGCCTGCAGCAGCTCGATGTGCACAGCGAGTTGTGCAGCTCGTTGCTCCCGAACAAAGTCCGTCAGTTCTCGTTCCACGTCTGGAAATGCTCCATTTTTCTGTCCCCGGAAACTTTTTCTCTTGTCGCAGCATGCAAAAAGGGCTTCCTTCTGCTTCCGCCAACCGCGAATGCTCCGCTCATTCACACCGAACTTCCGCTCCGCGGCACTGGTTTCGGCAGCAGAAATAACTTTCCTCTTAAAGGCAGCCGAGTACTGCCTGCGCGGTCCCGACATGGCTTAAAATCACGGAAGTAAAATTGTGGCCGTCGTGATGTGCGCCAAGTGAATGCAATGGCCACTGTTGCTCGCCTGATGCACGCCTGTACCTGTAGGTCTCTAGGACTAACGCCGTTCACGCTACCACGCCACCTAACGTAGAAGTGCGCAGACACCTGATAATGATGATAGCACCAACCAATGCCGAAACCAAAACTGAATTCGGGCCGAAACTTTTTTGGGATCCGCATATAGTACGCGGCTGAAATTTCGCACCCTACATTATAGAAAAAAACCCTGGGCTATACGCGGGTTTTTACGGTATGTCGCTAGTTGTTGGCATGTGAAACTCAACTACTCGCGTTTAGAAACTGTGTAGTTGTTTACTTTAGTTTTGTTGAAGATTGCATACTTTAAGCTTTTCCCAAGCCATTTGATGAAGTTAACTAGTCCTTGCTTTCGCATTTGGTAAGTTGGTAAAGAATTGATCCATAAATACATCATTGACATGCTGTGTCCCTTTGATTGCAGCCAATGTTTCAGCTCTCTTGAAACTCTTGTAGGCTCAGGTATATTGTACCAGTCCGTTTCTGGTGACGTGCTAATTTTAATTCATGTTAATAACTTGCTTGACTACCAACATTTCATTGCGAATATGTCTGTTCGCTGGTGACTGCGGAATTAGCCACGATTTAAATAGCCATTAAAAACTGTCAACACTTCAGAATTATATAGATAACGTAAATAACATTTCCGGAAAGTCATTTAGCAACTTTTAGCAACAATAAAATAAATATTCATAAATGCAAAAGCATACGCAACACCCACTTCTAAAAAGTTGTGTAGGAAAAAATTGTGTATAATAACCGGAGTGCTTGTTCATAAGCTGCTGTAATCGAAATAAATTAACCGTAACACTCCAATGATCACGTCAGTTACAGAATCGCTGAGCTGGAAACAACCTATTGGTTGCGTTTTATTGCATCCTTATGTTTCGCCATATTTAGGAATATTTGAGAATTTACTGTTAGAATGAAAAATTTGCTTCTTGCTGTTCATTTATCGTAACATAGATACCTTATAGAGTTTTACTTTACATGGAGTAAAATCATTTTTTCGCTTGAACCCATTGTTACCCAATAGGTCAAGACTGCTGTCTTCAATTCACGCTCTTCATGGCAAGCAGCCATACCGGCCAGCAGCCACAAGAGCGCCCGGCCTGCGCGAAACACGCTGCACAGTAGCAGCGAAGTCTGGTGGAGTGGGCTTTCAACAGCCCTTTGTGAACTATCTCGAGGCGACTTCTGCAAGTGCGGTTACGCGCTACGCTTTTGCCAGAAATCGTAATAATTTGTTAAAAACACTGGAATACCCTCAATGCCATTACTCGTCAATAAACGGAGCCTTACGTCTGTACGGCGTTTCGTGCACTTTGATGCTGCTGCGTCTGATTGATTGATTGATTGATTGATTGATTGATTGAAATAACACTAGTTAGGTCCTATGAGATGCGCCTTACAGCGCACTGCACACATCTCAAGCCTATCGGGACCACCTGGCTAAACCTGCCTGTCATTTTGGGAGCTACTGGGCAACCCAAACCTATATATAATGAGTATGAAGTACTGTAGCTCTGTCCTTCGTACACGATTAATAATAATAATAATTATAATAACAATAATAATAATAATAATAATAATAATAATAATAATAATAATAATAATAATCAGCCTGACTACGTTCATTGTTGAACAAAGGCCTCTCCCATGTTCCGCCAGTTAACCCGGTCCTGTGCTTGCTGCTGCCAATTTATACCCACAAACTTCTTATTAATCTCATCTGCCCACCTAACCTTCTGTCTCCTCCTAACCAGCTTGCCTTCTCTGGGAATCCAGTTAGTTACCCTTAATGACCAGCGGTTATCCTGTCTACGTGCTACATGCCCGGCCCAATTCCATTTCCTCTTCTTGATTTCAACTATGATATCCTTAACTCCCGTTTGTTCCCTAATCAACTCTGCTCTCTTCATGTCTCTTAAGGTTACACCTACCATTTTTCTTTCCATTGCTCGCTGCGTCGTCCTCAATTTAAGATGATCAATCAGGTCCCACTTAAATGTTCGATATATGCATGAAATCGGGCATTTTTTGTCTAGGTTCCTCAATATACCCAGCATTTAAACCGGACCTGATTAGGAGTGCATACACAATTTCCCATACGTGCTCAAACGCCGCCATCTTGGACTCGTAACGTTGCAGTTTTGTAGCCGGATCAAACATACAAAGCAGTGCTACGGTGAACTATCACGCACGAGAACACTTCGGCTGGTGCATTCAATGGTTTATGACAACAATCTCATATTACGACATTGAAAACCAGCAAAACAATCGCTTAGCTTAAGATGGCGATGCCCTTGAGTCGCGAATAAAATCATGTGCAGGTGGGATGCTCTAAAAACCTCCTCGTTGCGCGATTCGCATTATGGAATAGCTGGTCTTTTTTCGCTTCGCGTGCCGTATCACTTTTTTTGTCATGGTCTCTCGTCACCCTACATGAGCTTTGTACGATATCTTTTTGCGAAAGTGTTTCACGTACCGGTGTGGCTCTGTCCACTCGAATTAACGCACAAGTCTTACTGAGAGTGTATTTTTCTAGTAAAAATAACGCGGCTTTTGGGGATGTGTAGAAAAAGAAATAGCTGTTGTGTATCGATAGGTGAAATCCGAAATGCTCGCCTAATGCAGCTGCACTACCGTGAAATCTAAGGGAAGTGCGTAGCGCAAGTACCCAGCAGTTCCCGTTCGTGGAGTTTCCGCTACTCTGTTGGTGTGATGTCGGTGTATTACGTAAGCGCGTAGGGTTTTCACTGCATGAGTGGTATCTTGTTAAGGAAATTAAAAAACTATCTGTGCAATATGTGCCCTACTCGCTGCCTTTTATCGATTTTCTGCTGGTTAGTTTAGATGTGTGTCGTTTGCAGCGAGTTCATTATGTTGTTTCCCCTTCAGATGTGGTGCCATATAGAGGAGCTAGTGATATATGCAGTCACTTTCCTAGCGAATGCACATCTCAC